CAAATTCTGAGGTGCGGAGTGCGCGGAGCGGGCTGGCGGCGGAGGGCGCAGTTGGCGTTTTCAATCGGGAGGGAGTCGCAGACTCTGAGCTCCGGATATAGGCGAGTCTTTAGGGACCCAGCCTCAAACGGGAGAAGCGGGACTGTCTGGCTTCGGTCAGAGCAAGTGCAGCTTTGTCTCCGAGCTTTGCAGCCAGTGCTGGGACTCAGAGAGGCAGAGCCCCTGGGAACAGGACTGAGAGCCGCCATAACTGCTCTCTCTGGCCCACCCTGTTGATCCTGTGCGACCTGCCCTGCCCAAGCCCTGCACAGAGGCATTTGCCGGATAGCCTCAGGCAAAGGCTAGATTAGCACCTCCCTAGAGGACAGAAGTTCTCTCACTGCAGACACAGCTGATTCTCATAGCCACTTGGCCTGGAGGTCAAACCCTCCCTGGTATTAGCTACAACAATCAAGGTTTAACTATAAGACTGCGAACAAAGACCACTAGGGGGTGCACCAAGAAAGCATAACAAAATGCGGAGACAAAGAAACAGGACAAAATTGTCAATGGAAGATATAGAGTTCAGAACCACACTTTTAAGGTCTCTCAAGAACTGTTTAGAAGCCGCTGATAAACTTAATGAGATCTACAAGAAAACTAATGAGACCCTCGATGTTATATTGGGGAACCAACTAGAAATTAAGCATACACGGACTGAAATAACGAATATTATACAGACTCCCGGCAGCAGACCAGAGGAGCGCAAGAATCAAGTCAATGATTTGAAATGCGAGGAAGCAAAAAACACCCAACCGGAAAAGCAAAATGAAAAAAGAATCCAAAAATGCGAGGATAGTGTAAGGAGCCTCTGGGACAGCTTCAAGCGTACCAACATCAGAATTATAGGGGTGCCAGAAGATGAGAGAGAGCAAGATATTGAAAACCTATTTGAAGAAAAAATGACAGAAAACTTCCCCCACCTGGTGAAAGAAATGGACTTACAGGTCCAAGAAGCGCGGAGAACCCCAAACAAAAGGAATCCAAAGAGGACCACACCAAGACACATCATAATTAAAATGCCAAGAGCAAAAGACAAAGAGAGAATCTTAAAAACAGCAAGAGAAAGAAACTCAGTTACCTACAAGGGAATACCCATACGACTGTCAGCTGATTTCTCAACAGAAACTTTGCAGGCCAGAAGGGAGTGGCAAGAAATATTCAAAGTGATGAATACCAAGAACCTACAACCAAGATTACTTTATCCAGCAAAGCTATCATTCAGAACTGAAGGTCAGATAAAGATCTTCACAGATAAGGAAAAGCTAAAGGAGTTCATCACCACCAAACCAGTATTATATGAAATGCTGAAAGGTATCCTTTAAGAAGAGGAAGAGGAAGAAAAAGGTAAAGATACAAATTATGAACAACAAATATGCATCTATCAACAAGTGAATCTAAGAATCAAGTGAATAAATAATCTAATGAACAGAATGAACTGGTGATTATAATAGAATCAGGGACATGGAAAGGGAATGGACTGACTATTCTTGGGGGGGAAAGGGGTGTGGGAGATGCGGGAAGAGACTGGACAAAAATCGTGCACCTATGGATGAGGACAGTGGGTGGGGAGTGAGGGCGGAGGGTGGGGCAGGAACTGGGAGGAGGGGAGTTATGGGGGGTGGGAAAAAGAGGAACAAATATAATAATCTGAACAATAAAGATTTAATTAAAAAAAATAAAAGACTGAGAATAACAAGTAGCCTTCAGGCAGAAGCAATTGTCCACCCTATTGAAAAAAACTCTTGCCATATCTGTGGACGATTGCCTGAGGGCAATTCAGGGTGGAATCCTATCAGTCTACAGGCAGAGGTGGTCTCTGGAGGCTTTGTGTCTTTGCCTGATCTAATTAGTCAGAAACAACATTTGACATTGTCCTGCACTAGAGATTGAGAGGCATAGCAGATTTACCTAATACATAGTCATAAATCCAAACAGGCAGCCAAAATGAGGAAACAAAGAAACAAACCCCAAATGAAAGAACAGGAGAATTCTCCAGAAAAAGAGGTAAATGATATGAAGATAGGAAATTTATCTGATATAGAGTTCAGAGTAATAATGGTAAAGATGCTCAACAGCATGAGAAAAAGTGTAGTAACTATAAAACAGAAATAAAGAATGACATAGCACAAATAAAAACACATTGGAAGGAATACACAGAAGATTAGAGGAAGCTGAGGATTGAATCAGTGAAAAAAATCACTCAATCAGAGAACCAAAGAGGAAAAAAACAATAAAAACAGGAGGACAGCTTAAGGGAGCTGTGGGACAATGTGAAACATAACAATATTGGGATAGGTCTGTAATGTTATAAATGTACCTTATATTACCACTTTTTCTGCATTCCCAAAGTTTTGATATGTCATAATGTCATTCTTATTTGTTTCTATGTGTCTTTTAAAAAAATGTATATTTTTATTTATTTCAGAAAGGAAGGGAGAGGGAGAGATAGAAATGTCAAGGATGAGAGGGAATCATTGGTTGTCTGCCTCCTGCACGCCCCACACTGGGGATCAAACCCACAACTCGGGAATGTGACCTGACCAGGAATCCAACCATGACCTCCTGGTTCATAGGTTGACACTCAACCCCTGAGCCATGCTGACCTGGCTGTTTTATCTTTTTAATGCTATATGTACAGTTCCAGATTTTTGTTTTGTGGTTATCATTATGCTTATCCTACAAGTTTAATATGTACAATTGTCCTTGTTCTGATTGCATCTTATCTCCATTCACCTGTGCAAGTTCAGCCCTTACCCCCTTTCCTTTTCTGTTTTCATTGTAACAAACTATTAAACTGTGCAATATTTTCCAAATTGCAGTAGCTATTGTCTTTTTAAAATGCTTTTGACTCCTTTAACATTTATGTTATATTTAAGTGTTTAATACCCATTCTGAACAAGAGTTGCAATTTCCTGCTTCTGTGTGTTTGTCTTCTTATAACAGTTTTATATCCTTTTGCTTTTTAATTTCAGGTAAAAGAGCTCCTTTCAGCATTTCTTGTAATTCAGGTCTTATGGTGATAAATTCTTTCAGCTTCTGTTCATCTGGAACAACCTTTATTTCTTCTTCAGATTTAAAGGGTAAATTTGCTGAATATATCATTCTTAGCTGGTAATTTCTCTTCCAATATTTTGAATATTTGATTCCACTCTCTCCTAACTTGTAGGGTCTCTGCTGAAAAAAATGCAATGATAATCTAATGGGGTTTCCTTTATAGTTTATTGTCTTTTTTTTGTGGCTGCGTTGAGAATTCTCTCTTTACCATTAACTTTTGACAGTAATATGATGTGCCTTGAGACGGTTGTTTTTCATCAAGATAATCAGGTGTCTGTTAGTTTTTTGGATTCAAAGGTCCAGTTTTTTCCATTGGTTGGGAAGTTCTCTTGATTATTTGTTTATATAGGCTCTCTGTTCCTTTATGCTCTTCTACTTCTGGTATCCCATTATTCTTTTTTTTTTTTTTTTGGGTTTTTTTATTGTTTTATTTGGGAAAGTGCTTCTTACAAAAGGGCAGCTGTAAAATACAGAGACCTCTGTAACAATGACTTGTTTTTCTTAAAGTGAAAGAATGGGTGGGATCCAAGGAATCAAAAGCAGTTGATGGGACAACTCAGGAGCATCTCCAAGTTATTTTCAGAAACAGCAACAAAATTCAAGCTAAAATTTTCAATCAAGGAATTCTAACAATGTAGCTTATCTTGTGAATTACCAACCTAACCCACCCCCCTTGAGTGGGAAAGCATTAACTTATTACTGCAAACCAATGACTCCACTACAAGAAACACCTTAGAACACAGTTTTGAATCACATCTGTCTACCTGCAAAGTACAAGGATGGAATGAGGCACATACCCACAAAAACACAAAAACCTCACAACAAAACCCCTCAAGTGAGGACAAAGGTTTGCCAAAAGGTGCCTGAACTGGAGAGGGTAAGAGATCATTAAGCATTAAATACAACTGTGTATCCACAACCTCGTTTTGTGTTAAGATATGGGATAACCAGATCGTTTTACCCTCTATGGCTAAGCCCATTTATTCATATAGACAGACAAAGCTAGCACTGCTCTAGTAATGGCTACCAACATACTGCTTTGTCCTGTAAGATCTAGTTACCACACGAGGCTGAACCACTAAGCCAAGGTTTTCCACTAAGGCTAAGAACACTGCACCTAGGCAGGGATGCGAGGCTTACCACACACTCGCACTCACACACGCCAAGTCTACCAGCTCTTGGGAGTCAACCTCAATTCTGCATTTCTTTTATGCCAGTAAATCATTCTTTTAGAATCTTCCTGTCATACTGAACAGTAAAAATCTCCACACATTCGCACCTGCGTATGGTTATCCAGTAGTCATTACTTGTGTGCAATTATCAAGAGACCAAAACCACAGAACAAGTGCACAGGGTAGGGATTGTGGGGTAGGGAACATATAAAAACACAGATGTGCAGATTTTAGCAGAAACCTCAAGTATCCGCCTCTAGGTCTGTAGCACAGGCTACTTGCCACAGTTCAGATCCTTCACCCATCACCTCTTCTTGGACCCCCGAGCAGCGCCAAGGCTGTGGCTTTTGAACCTGGGTCCTTAGAATGAGTGCAGCACGTCCATGAACACCCTCCAACTGTGTGAATCTGGTTGAAAACAGATGACGCAACAAACCTACACTAACTGTCTGACAGTTAAGTTCGTGTTACAAAAAACTAACTTTAAGGTTTATTTTTGTAACTTTTTTAAAAAAAATATATTTTATTGATTTTTTTACAGAGAGGAAGGGAGAGAGATAGAGAGTTAGAAACATCGATGAGAGAGAACCATCGATCAGCTGCCTCCTGCACATCTCCTACTGGGATATGCCCGCAACCCAGGTACATGCCCTTGACCGGAATCGAACCTGGGACCTCTCAGTCCACAGGCCAACGCTCTATCCACTGAGCCAAACCGGTTTCGGCTATTTTTGTAACTTTTTAACCAGAGGAAACAACATACTCCTTGGGGAAAGGTGAGGGAGTAAGAAGACAGGCCCTGGGTACGAAGTATTACGACAGCACCTGGAGTTGCTAGGCCTGCCTAGGAGACACGGGCACTGCCACACCACCACAGGGGACAGCCACTGTCTAGGCTCAGCAGACCAGTTCACACGCCACGCAAAGCTGCTATAGGTCCAAGTCATAAAAGTCTTCCAGCTCATCGTGAAACAAGTCCCACTCGTCTTCAGAGTCTGTCAGCTCGTCGTCATCCCCACCTGCAGCCAAAAGCATAAGCAACATCTCGCCCAGCTCAAAGGTGACAACCTCTTCTTGATCGTCAAAGGGGTTGCTGTTCTCTCTTTCCTCAATGAGCTCCCAGAAGTGGTTCCTTCGTTGGGCCCGGTATCTGCTTGATGTTCCCACTTTCTGTCTCTGTGGCTCCTCTCTACGGCCATCAGGGTACGCATGCTTGTAAAAATAGTTCCCTCCAAATGGGCAGCTCCCACGTCCTTCATCAAAATACCTGCATGCCTTGTTGCTCTTTGCCTCCTTGTATTTCTGAATGAGTTTCTGCTTCTCTTCTTTCTCCTCCACCCAGTACTCACTTGGAATGACAAAGTTAGATGTGATTCGGCATTCTGGGCAGGACTTTATGATCTTGCTCTCAAATTGCTTAGCACTCCTCCACTTGCGAATACACTTGAGACAGCAGGTGTGGTTGCAGTTGGAGAGGATCCCGAAGCGGGGCTCACTAGGGTCGGCTTTCTCGTAGACCACCTCCATGCAGATCCCACACACTTTGTCCTTACTGCGCTGGATGGCAAACGAGAGCTCCATGTCCTTCTCATGGGCCTCAATGCAAGATTTTATGTGCTGTGATCTCTGGGCTGCGTCCACTGGGTGTAGGACTTGCAGCCCGCACATGTCACAGGAGTCTCCGTGGAGATACACACAGTTCTCCCCATAGCGGCACTCTCCCACCGCTGCATAGGGACAGAGCTGCTTCTTCGTGTCCACGGCCGCTGGCTCCTTCTCTGGCTCTTCCTTGGTCCCTGAGCCCTGCAGGGGTGCTTCAGTGCAAGAAGGGCCAGTACGGCCACAGTAGGGCTGCCCAGGAACAAACTCAATGGCATTCACCCAGTCTTCTGAACCTGCTCCTGCAGGTGCAAAGTTCGAATTTGACTCAGCCTCGCCCGTATTCATTTCAACAATCGGTCCAACGACTGGAGAGAGACTTGAGGAAGCAGCAAGGGATAGTTTTGCAGTTAGATCTGTAGCAGTTGCTTCTTCCTGTTTCAATGGTTTGCTATGTTCGTGTCTGCAGCGGTCTCCGTAAATACAGTACCCTCGCTGAAAATACTTGCACAGCACACCGTGTGGACTGTCAGAGAGGTCATGCGAGTAGCGACAGTTATCTCCTTCCTTACAAACCCCGTGCATGAAATACCTGCAAGGCTGGTCTTGGAAGGAGGCCAGACGAAATGGGTATCCTCCGCGCCACGTGGAGGGTACTGAAGGATTCTAGGCCGGAGCAGGATGGCTCCCATTATTCTTATATTGCTCTTTCTAATGGTATCAGATAGTTCGCATAGTTGTTTTTTTTTTTTTTTTAACTATAAATTCTCTCTCTTCTTACACCTGAGTTGTTTCTAGAGTTCTATCTTCTGTGTCACTGTTTCCTTCATGTGGTCTGCCCTATTTCCTAAGCTCTCTAACTTATCCTTCATCTCATTTATTGAGTCCTTCAGCTCCAGAATTGCTGTTTTTTTTCTTCTTGTTTTGCTTCACTCTCTTTAGCCACGTACTTCATTTGTTCATTGATTTTATTTCTGAGCTCATTGAACTGCCTTTCTAAGTTCTTTGTATCTCATTGACATTTTTTTAGAACTGCAATCTCAAATTCCCTGTCATTTAAGTCATAGTCTTCCATGTCATTTTTTTTCCCCTGGAGATTTTTCATTTTCTTTCTAAACTTCCTTGTTACCTTGGTTATTTATGGTATTTGATTAATGATTTCTCTGCCTGGGCATTTGCAGGGAATGAATTCTTTATTATTATTTTTTATTTGGTTTTTTAAAGTACTGTCATAATTATTTAGCCTGTTGATAAATAGGTGTCTTTCTTTTGTTTCCCAGTAGGTGGTGGTATAGCTCAAGATTTTGTTTTTGTTTTTTGTTTTTCTGTTCTACAGGGACTTCCCTGATCTCTGTGGGGAGTTGTCACCTCAGCTGAGAAAAATGTCTTGTATATCGCCAAACCGGTTTGGCTCAGTGGATAGAGCGTCGGCTTGCGGACTGAAGGGTCCCAGGTTCGATTCCGGTCAAGGGCACGTGCCTCGGTTGCGGGCACATCCCCAGTGGGGGGTGTGCAGGAGGCGTCTGGTTGATGTTTCTCTCTCATGGATGTTTCTGGCTCTCTATCCCTCTCCCTTCCTCTCTGTAAAAACTCAATAAAATATATTAAAAAAAAAAAAAAGTCTTGTATTGCCCGAGAAGTGGGTGCCCTCTTTACAACCCCGACTGGGTTGCCTTGGTCTTAGGGCATCATCTGTGTGGTAGAATGTGGTGGGTTATGGGTCTCCTGGCCTATGTGTTCTTAGCACTAATTTCCTGCAGCCAGAAGCTGCTAGCCACACTTTCACTGTTTCCTTCATGTGGCCTGCCCTATTTCCTAAGCTCTCCAACTTATCCTTCATCTCATTTATTGAGCCCTTCAGCTCCAGAATTGCTGCTTTTTTTCTTGTTTTGCTTCACTCTCTTTAGCCACGTACTTCATTTGTTCATTGATTTATTTCTGAGCTCATTGAACTGCCTTTCTAAGTTCTTTGTTTTTCATTGACATTTTTTTAGAACTGCAATCTCAAATTGCAGTTCCAGAGATCCCAGCTGAGAGATCCCAGCTGCCTTTCCCAGGCTCCTTGGAGATTGGTGGGGGAAGAGTGGATGGGGAAAGTGGGGTTGTGTGTGGCTCTGTTCTTTTCAGTGGGTTCAATTGCAATGAGCACAGAGCATTTAGTCTGGAAAGTTGCTTCTGCCCCTTGTGATCTGCCCAGCAAGAGTCGCAATACCAGGTAGGCCACAGGTGGTGGGGACAGATTCTTGTGTCTTTGGTTTTGTTTGCCTGGTGATGCAGTCTTGTGGGTTGCTGCTGCCCTTTGCACCACTTCTCTGTCCCTGCTCCTGGGCTCAGCCTCCGTGTGTGCTGGCCACGCAGCCTGGGTTGCAGCATCAGCCCTTCTGGTGTGCCCAGTGGGGGTTGGATGTTAACTCTTTACTGCTATTCCATCTGCTAGGACCATCCCCAGACCTCCTGTGGCTCTTATCTCTGTCCTTCTCCCCATCCCACCTCTTCTGGTTGCTTAGATATGCCTACCTTTATGTGTCTCAATGGTATATCTCTCAGACACGTTTGTGTGAATTATAGCTGTTCAACTTGTAATTTCAAGGGGGGAGACCTAGAGGTCTTCTCACACTGTCATGATGCTGATGTCACACTGAGACAGTTCTTATTTTCTAATACAAGCATTTGAGATTGTACATTTACTTCAAAAGACTGTTTTAGCTACATCTCACATTTTAATATACTATATGCTTCATTTTTAACCAGTTAAAAACATTGTCTGATTTCTCCTGACCCACGAATTATTTTGACTTACATGGTTTAATTCCCAAGCTTTTGAAGATTTTCCTGTTATTTTTCTGTCACTGATTCATAGTTTTCATTTGTTATGGTTGGCACATTAGTTTTCTGTGTAAGAAAACACCACAGAATTACTGTGCTAAAGCAACAGCCATTTGTTAGCTCACTGTTCCGTAAGTAAGAAGTCCAGGAAGGGTGTGTTTGAGTTCTCTGCTCAGGTTCTTACAAGGCTGAAGTCAATGTGTCTGTGGAGATGTGTTCTTATCTGTAGCTCTGGATACTCTTCCATGCTCATATGGTTGTGGCAGAACTAAGTTACTGGCAGCTGTGAGAGTGAGGCCATTCTCTTTCTTCTTGCTGGCTAGCAGCCAGGAACTTTCTCAGTTCCTAAAGTCCATCTGAATTTGTTGCTGTGTGGTCCTGTATAACTTCAAAGACCACAATAGTGAACTCTCTCAATTAAAATCACTTTCTTTTTTTAAAAAAATATATTTTATTGATTTCTTTACAGAGAGGAAGGGAGAGGTATAGAGAGTCAGAAACATCGATCAGCTGCCTCTTGCACGCCCCCTACTGGGCATGTGCCCGCAACCAAGGTACATGCCCTTGACCAAACTCGAACCTGGGACCTTTGAGTCCGCAGGCTGACATCCACTGAGCCAAACTGGTTAGGGCAATTAAAATCACTTTCACACTTTGAGTCCCTTACTTCCTCTGTCTCTGACCTGTAGAGGTTAGACCTACCCAGATAATCTCCCTTTATTAAAGTCAACTACCTAACCTAGTAATTGCAGTGATATTAATCATATTCATAATCTCAGAGATTATATAAGACCATACACCAGGGAGTACAATTTTTTGGGGGAGGAGCATATTAGAATTCTGCATACCACAGTTAGATAATGTGACTTTGTATGATTTTAATTCTTCGACATTTGTTAAAGCTTATTTTATGACCAAGGATATTTTGTCTTGTGCACTTGAACAGAATATAAATCTGCTTTTGTTGGGTAGAGTGTTCTATAAGTAGCAATTAGATCCAGTGGTTGATGTCATTCACTTTTTCTATATCCTTGCTAATTTTCTATCTACTTGTCATATTGGATATTGAGGGAGTTATGTGAAATCTCCAACTATAATTGTGGATTTGTCCATTTCATCTTTCTGTTTATCAGTTTTGTTTTGTTTTTAAATATATTTATATTTATTTCAGAGAGGAAGGGAGAGGTAGAGAGAGATAAACTTCAATATGTAACAAATCACTGACAAAGATTTTGTCAAAATACAGGTTTTGATTCGGTAGGTGCAAGGGTTAAGGGGCAAGGGATTCTGCATTCCTGCAGCCCCTCAAGTAGCCCCTTGAGCACCTTTTGAGCAGCAAATTACAGGCTTTAATGTGAAAGCTTGAAGCTGATCAACAGGAATCAAGAGCAGAATACCAGTTGCAATCTCACTGAAAAGTAAGCTCCAACTCTACAGTGTCAACAAGAAACCAATGTTAAATATACTGATGTATTATAGAGCTAAAATTAAAAATTGGGGGAAACAATATGCAATACAAACACGAACAAAACAAAGACAGTGATTATAAGACAGAGTAACTGTCAAGCAAAAATAATTAATGGATAAAGAGGGCCATTAAATAATGATAAAAAGAATGATTCAACAGGGAGACATGAGAATTCTAAATGTACAAGTACCTAACACAGACCTTCAAAATTCCTGAGTCAAAACCTGAGAGCCCTTGGCTCTGTAGATAGAGCGTTGGCCTGCAGACTGAAGGGTCCCGGGTTCAGTTCCAATCAAGGGCACATGCCCGGATTGCAGGGAAATCCCCAGTAGGGGATGTGCAGGAGGCAGCTGATTAATGATTCTCTCTCATCATTGATGTTTCTATCTTTCTCTCCCTTTCCCTTCCTCTCTGAAATCAATAAAAAATATAATAAAAATTTTCTGATTAGTAATCTGGCACATTTTAGACCATCCTATCTCTAATTTCCTCATGAACATTTTTATGACCATGTAAACTGAAACTCCTCTTGTAATCTAAGTACTTTATATTTTAAACCCAGCTTTTTTTTGGATTAACATTTATTTTATTATTATATTTTTCAATTATAGTTAACATTTAATATTATTTTGTATTAGTAGAGGTTTATGCACAGTGGTTAGATAATCACATGCTTTACAAAGTGGTCCCCCTGATATTTCAAGTTCCCACCATACATAATTATTATAATATTATTGACTATATTCCCTACGCTCCAGCATGTCAAACTTGCGGCCGGCATGCAGCCCATCAGCCGCGAGTTTGACATACATGCTTTCATGACTATTTTGTAACCACAAATTTGTATTTCCTAATCCCTTCACATTGTAAAAAATGTTTTTATTGTAGAGAAGAGAGGAAAAGAGAGGGAGAGAGGGAGAGAGGGAGAGAAACATGGGAGTGAGAGAGAAACATTGATCAGCTGCCTCCTGCACGTCCCCTACTGGGGATTGAGCCTGCAACCCAGGCATGTGTCCTGACCAGGAATTGAACTGGCAATCTTCTGTTGCATGAGACGATGCTCAACCAATTGAGCCACACCGTCCAGAGCAATCCCTTCACATTTTTTACCCAGTCCTCCAACCCCCTTCCCTTCTGGCAGCCCTCAGTCTGTTTTCTGTATCTATAAATATTTCTATTTTGCTTGTTCATTTGTTCTTTAGATTCCACATATAAGTGAAATCATATAATATTTGTTTTTCTCTGATTTATCCCTCTAGGTCTATCCATGCTTTCAGAATGATAAGATTTAATTTTTTTACGG